TTTTGATCTGGTTGATCTGACCTTTTCTGTCTGGTTCATCATAGTCGCGTTTTTATATACTATATATTGTAAAATATATTATTATAAAATGGTATGTATAGCATTATATTGTTTTTAAAACCTTTACTAACGCAACTTAGGTTTACTTGATAGTCCATATACATTTTGTTTTTTGAGAAAATCGTGTTAAAAAGTGTATCAGACACATCTCCATCACATTTTTTCCCAGATTGACCTAGGAAATAAATCAGCCTTTGAAAACTGCAGGCCAAGTTAATAACACATATGTTATTATAATACTGTGGGTGTTTTGTTTGTTTACTCTACATAGAGAAATGTGTATGTGTGTGAATGGTAGTGTGTTTATTACGAAAATTGACTTATCCAAGATTGTAATAAACAAAGCAAAAAATCTGCTCAGCCTTTAGTTAAGGGGTCACTAAGATTGTTTCTGGAGGGCTGGGTCATGCAGATTTTACCCAGAGAATTTTTTACTATTTAGGGAGATGAAAATGTCTGCACCTACCATTGGAATACCTGTAACGCTCTAAGCAATAGCGGCTTTTAGTCTCCTTTCCTGCATACTGACATAGAGGCAATGTTAGCATTAGCCATTTTGCTATTTAGGCAAATCATTTCAGGCTTTCCTTCAATTGACCTTATTCCTCACGTACAAGCGGATTCACTCATTGGATACTTTTTGGTGTGAGATTTCCAGTCTCAATCACTTCCAATGATTTTTAGATCTTGTAAAAAACTCCTTTTCCTGTGTCATGTTGCAAACTAATCTTTTATTAGTTTATTATTATACTTTTTATGTATAGTAATAAGCGCACTTGTTTGTAGAGCAAGTAGTTTGATAATTTTCTGCCATTTATTATACCTAGTCATTTCTCCCATAGGCAGCTGAATCGGAAGTTCTAAAACAATCACAAAAATGAGCTTACTTCCGCAATGCAGAATAAGGTCAATAGGCTTTGGTTTGGCTTAAGCCCCAAATAAACAGACTTGAACAAGCTAAGCAAGGTCTTATTGGGAATACTTGAAACTTCCAGGCAGGTGTATTGAGGAAATTTGGAGCTAAACTTTGCAGGACACCGGCCCTCCAGGACCAAGTATGGTGACCACTGATTTAGTATAGGGAAAATATTAATAGTAATAAAAAATACAAAAGCAACAACGGTGGCATTATGTAAACCAACTATAATTTGAAGGCTTATAATCCTTCAAATAATTGAATTTTAAATAGTTATTATCAGATGCTCGTAAAAAAAAAAATCTGTGTCAGTGAAATTGCAAAAAATATATTAAAACTCGATACTAATATGTTATTGTTGTATGGATATTTTAGCCGTGTATGAAACAATTTGTAACTTTTTAAAAATTGATGCACAAGGGTTGAATATAATTATACTAAGGCACATTATTATAGTTACAAATGTAACCATACTTGATATACTAACTGATGTTTCATATTGTTTAGTGAAATCTTAAGAAGTATGCTATAATATTATAAACTTCTCATTGATATACAGTCAGAATTATTAGCCCCCCTTTGATTATTTATTTATTTATTTATTATTATTATTTTTTTAATATTTCCTAAATGATGTTTAACAAACAAGGAAATTTTCACAGTATGTCTGATAATATTTTTTCTTTCGGAGAAAGTCTTATTTGCTTTAATCCGGCTAGAATAAAAGCAGTTTTAATAAAAAAATTTAAAAAAACACATTTTAGGGACAAAATTTATTAGCTCCTTTAAGTAAATTTTTTTTGATGGTCTACAGAACAAATTATAATTACACAATAACTTGCCTAATTACCCTATCCTGCCTAGTTAACCTAGTAAAGCATTTAAATGTCACTTTAAGCTGTGTAGAAGTGTCTTGAAAAAGATTTAGTAAAATATTATTTACTGTCATCATGGCAAACATAAAATAAATCAGTGATTAGAAATGAGTTATTAAAACTATTTTGTTTAGAAATGTGTTGAATTTTTTTTTCTCTCTGTTAAACAGAAATTGGGGAAAAAATTAAATGGGAGTGAATAATTCAGGGGGCTAATAATTCTGAGTTCGACTGTACATTACAATGTCAAAATCTATATATTTTTTAACTTCTAAATATCAGCAGTAGAACAAATTGCATGTTTTCGCTCAATTTGGATTATTGTTTACTTTTCTTGTAAAATTTAAGCCTCATATTCTCCTATAAGACACAAAAGGGTTTTTTTTTCAAGGTTTTGTTTTAAGATTCAATACATCTCTCTGTTACAAAACTGTGTGCCAGGATAGCTCAGTTATTAGCACTATCACAGGCTAGGTTGCTGGTTCGAGTCCCGGCTGGGCCAGTTGGCATTTCTCTGTGGAGTTTGCATGTTCTTCCCTTGTTTACATGGGTTTCCTCTGGATGCTTCGGTTTCCCCCACAGTTCAAAGACATATAGACATAAGTGAATTGAATAAACTAAATTTGCCGAAATATATGAGTGCATGTGTGAATGAGAAAGTGTGTATGTGTTTCTCAATTCTGGGTTACGGCTGGAAGAGCATCCACTACGTAAAACATATGCTGGAATAGTTGGTGGTTCATTCTGCTGTGGTAACCCCTGGTAAATAAGGGACTAAGCCAAATGAGATTGAATGAATGTTTTTAAACTGATAATTTTTTCACACTTTTATTTCATATATTATGTGTTAAAAAGGCCTAATAGCAGCCATGTGCTGTTCATTTGTATAAACATTTTATTAATATTCTTTTTTTTTTTTTTTAGGTATAACAGACTGGCAAGGGAATGGACTCAGAAGTACGCAATGTAACTGGACCATAAGGTTTTGAATTGGTTGCACATGGACACTATTGCTGCACACGGATCTGTACTGCACCTGTACAGAGACGAGACGTTTACCAACAGATGAACCTCCCCACACACACATATGCATAAACACAAACTCACAAACATATTTACACGCACAATTTTACAGAAAGCCCTTGTTCAGGAGTCAATCATCTCTGCTCACAGAGGCATCCAGGAACAACCTGTCAGTGAACACACACACAGACAAAAAAAAATTGTTTTATTTTCCAATGGATTAGTTACATTTTAGTAATTTTATTGTATAGAAATAAAAACAATATTGGATCATTTTTATTGTTTTTGCATTAAAAGGTGTTATTATAAAGATGTGCCTCGTTGCAGATGTTTATATTGTAAGATATTTTCTATATTTGGCGTCACGGTGGCGCAATGCGTAGCACAATCGCCTCACAGCAAGAAGTTCAATGGTTCGAGTCCCGGCTGGGTCAGTGGGCATTTCTGTATGGAGTTTGCATGTTCTCCCTGTGTTTGAGTGGGTTTCCTCCGTGTGCTCTGGTTTCCCCCACAGTCCAAAGACATGCGCTATAGGTGAATTGGGTAAGCTTAATTGTCCGTAGTGTATGTGTGTAAATGGAAGAGTGTATGGGTGTTTCCCAGTGTTTGGTTGCAGCTGGAAGGGGATCCACTGCGTTAAACATGTGCTGGATAAGTTGGCGGTTCATTCCGCTGTGGCGACCCCAAAATAATAAAGGGACTAAGCTGAAAAGAAATTGAATTAATGATTTTCTATATTTGTGTGATGTTGGTATTGGACACTGCTCAGTATTTTTGTTTGTGCCACTAGATGGCGATATTAGCTGTTTTATATGCATCCTTGAGAGCCTCAAAAAGGAATATGTAAACATGGTTAAAATAAGTTTAAATTAAATACTTTATAGCGTATTTTAAAATAAGTCAGTAGAAATGTAGTTTTGTAATATTAATACATTTGGTAAAATATTTTACAAGAGCTTGATTTATTGACAACTTCATTTTATATTAAATATCTTACAAAAACAATACAAATATTCTGACCTTTTTTAAAGAACAAAACCTAAATTTGATGAAAAGCATTTCTCTTAAAAAAACGTACAATATGTCATTTTTAAAATGCATTTTAGTTTATTTTCTGAAAACAGATTTCATGCTTGAATTTCAAGATGATGTTTTTATTCCACAATTGAAGTAAATCACCCTTGGTGGTTTCACAATTCAGAAAATAAGTATTCATATATATATGTATATGTGTATGTATATGTATATATGTGTGTGTGTGTACATGCTTCTTGTCGCATGACAACAAAATTAATTCATCTATGTTGGTTAAGGCCCAAGGTTAAAGCCAATCAATGTTTACAAAAAATTACTTTTACCGTTATTAGGAAATTATAATATAACATCATGCCAAAGAGTTTTACCAACGCTGAACTTTCTTTGGTCACATTTTATTTTGAAGGTCTGTTTGTTGAATTTAAGTTACATTGCATCTACATGCCAACTAATTCTCATTAGAATATAAGTAGACTGTTGTTGTGGTTGGGGTTAGTGTAAGTTGACATGCACCTGCAAAGTTTCTTATAGTCAGTTAAATGTCAGTTGAAGGAGCAGTATCAACAGACTAGTTTTAGCAGACAGTCTACTAATAGTCAAATAGATCTATAAAATAAAGTGTTACCCTTGCTTTTATTTCAGAAATAAGTCTTTTGATGACACATTTTTTAATTAATCTTTATAATAATGGATTATACTTAAAGGCACAGTTTAACCTTAAACCTTTATGAGTTGAACACAAAAGAAGATATTTTGAGAAATGTTGGAAACCTGTAACCATTCATTGACTTCCATAGTGTTTGTTTATTACTATAGAAGTCAGTGGTTAAAGGTTTTGAGCGACTTGAGGGTAAATGAATAATCAGTGTAATTTTGGGTGCATCATCCCTTTTGTGGCCATTTGTTTAAAACGGAACCATAGAAAAGTGCAACCAAGTTGTTTTGTATTAATTAAATGTACATAAGTTGTATTTACTTAAAACGTTAAAATAAATAAATGTTTGGATTGATCGTTTTTTTACCGTGCAAACTGGTTGTGATGATGAGAAAGTTTTGGGTGGAGAGTGGGCGGTGATCCTGACACGTGAACGATCCCGCAGGAGCTCAATCCATCCATGCATCCATGACCTGCAGCTATAGTGTGCTGTGCTCTGCTCCTGGAGCCAGAGGAAAAGTGGAGTACATAGGAATCTGGGCCAGACTGAAACTTTCTCGGGGGCAGCGACTGGCCAGAAGGGCTTCAAGGAACTTCAAGGGCAGGACAAGGGAAAAACTTGCCTGCGAATCGGGATGTTTTTCTCCTAATGTTCACTAGCCGTTTACCTCTTCCACATACAAACCCAGCACATTAAGTCTAAAACACATTAGGGGACAATGGCCGAACCGTTGAGTTTTATGCATCATGATCATGGCTCCAGCAGCGAGCGGAGTGACGACTCTCCGTCTGCCGTGTCTGAGGATGATTCCAGCGGCCACTGCGGCCACATCTCCCCGCCTGACCCAGACTGGACCGAAGAGAGGTTTCGAGTTGACCGCAAGAAACTAGAAACTATGTTACTGGGTACGTTAACTTCTTGAACACTTCCTTGACGAATTTAGAAGTCGGTTTAATGTCTTGAAAATACTTTTTGCTAACTTTGTGGTGCTGCTTGGCGTCGAGTCACATAAATAGTTTGTCTAAATATATCACAACGTTTCCTCGAAGACCATCTTGAAGGTTAGTTCTCCTTGTCTGTGTAGGACATGCTGATTAGTGTGTGGATGTTATATATTTTTGAGTAGCTTTGCATTGTAACCTGTTAAAGTTGTTAAACTTGAGCTGTTGCATGCACAAATGTAATATTTAAACTTCTAATGTTCATTTAGTATAAAAATGTTGAGGTTAGACCTTGAAAACAAGGTTAAGAAAAACGTTCAGGGATTTGTTGTTGGCGTTTCATAAAAGTTCAATTCAGTAATGCCTATATTTCTGATAGTTTTAAAGTATAACAATACAATGTCATGATCCATCAAGGTATCATAATTTGACAGTCTTTCATTACAGAATCTATTATATAGTTCAATAAAATGACAATTTAATCATCATTTATTCACCATTATTTCACGTATAACTTTGGGTTTTCGTTTCTCAAACTGTCTTTTATCCTCCAAGGAAGAAAGTCATTTAGCTTTGCAATGATTTGAAGGTGAATAAAGGAAGACAGAGTTTTTGTGTAAACTGTGCCTCTTTAAAAGCTGCTTATGGCTGTAAATGTAAGCAAAACATAATTTGGTTGATTTATCAGTCTGCCAGACATTGATGGTCACTTAAAATGTCACCACAAGTCAACTTTCAACACATTTTCGTCTATTTGTAAGAATATTTTCAATTCCTGAGGCTTCAAGGTCAAGATAAAAAAAAAAAAAACACTTTTGAAGCTATATTATTAGTAAGGACGTTTCAAAGATATACAGTTTTTTTTTATACATTAGGTCTAATCCTAAACCAAACATTCAAATCCAAAAATATCAGCTATGTAAAATAGGATTCGTAGGCAATCATGATATATTGATGCGTATTGGGGCTGGACCTATAAACAATATTATATCGAATCACACTAAAGTTTATGTCAATAACAATGATAAGCTTTGGACTTTTTTTTTTTACTCTATATTGACCTAAGACTCAACAATTGGAATCTAGAAGTGTATTAATATTAGAGATGCACTGATTTTTTTTGGCTGCCAAATATTATCGTGCACTGAAAATAGGTTATGTTATTTAATTGACCATTTCATTTTTGTGGCTTCTGTCATTGTTGGGATACTCTTTTAAATATGGAAGAAATAACTGATATCGCAATATATCAGCCAAAAATCCCATACCTGTGTTTCCCTAATAACTTGACTGATTCAAAAGTCAATTCAACTACAATTGTAAAAAGAAACTCATCAATATTTTGGCAACTTTTGAGTGAGTTACGCATTTTTCATGAATTTGGCCCTCATAATTTGCAAAATCTGTATATAAACAGTTTTTGAAGCAACATCATTATGGTTAAAGCTCATCATTCAACACTTGCATTATATTCTACATCAGCAGTAGACAGTTTACTGCAGAATGATGTTCAAGTCCTTTCGTTTTCCTTTTGTTGTAACTTTAGCGGAGTAGAATTTAAACAAGTTAAAGTATCACAAGTTGAGGTCAGTGGTTTGGTATTGGCGTATTCTAAACATGTACAAAACTTCTGGTCTGCTGATGCGGGCCCTCAGTTTGCAATGACTTTGTTGTTATCATGCATTCAAATCAACCAAACTCAAGATAGTTATGGATGTTTACTCCATAAATAAAACAATGTAAACATTTCTTTCGATTGATTATGCTGCATTTTAAAGGAATCTAAAGCTTTACTTTATTTCTTTAACTTTCCTAGCATTAAACATTTGAGATTTATCAGCTGATCTCGAAGTCTGTCGGAATCACTTTTAGCTTAGCTTAGCATAGATAATTGGATCAGATTAGACCATTAGCATCTCACTCAAAAGTTGCCAAAGTATTGATGATTTTCCTTTTACTATAATCTCTTTACCGGTGTAAGATGTTAAGATATTATGCTGATTCTAACTGGTCGTGCAAGTATAGGGTTTAGTGCTGGGGACTATTTTTAGGAGCTGTTTAATATGTAATGAGAGTATAGTTTAGGGCTGTATGATAAAATCTGACATTGCGATATTTACTATTTATAAACAATATGAATACAGTTTTACAAGATGAATTGAAGAGGTCTATTTGGGAACGATTAATTAATTTTCGATTGATTGGGGAACAAATCATGCATTTTGTAGGGGAACAAATCATGCATGAAATGAAATAAACAAAGTACAAGCATAGCTAAATGCAACAGAGCAAATGTAAAAGTGAAATAAACAGTGCTTTATGGTGTTCAGGGTATAGTCAAATCCTATTTAGATGAAGAAATTGAAATAATCAAACATAAAATAACACTGCAAAGACTTTACGGTATAAATAGTTTAATAAAATGATTTTTGAGGAGTCGTGGCGGCATAGTGGGTAGCACGACCGCCTCACAACAAGAAGGTCACTGGTTCGAGTCCCAGCTGGGTCAGTTGGCATTTCTGTGTGGAGTTTGCATGTAATCCCTGTGTTTGTGTGGGTTTCTTCTGGGTGCTCCGGTTTCCCCCACAGTCCAAAGACATGCTATATAGTTTAATTGAATAAGCTAAATTGTCCGTAGTGTATGGGTGTTTCCCAGCGTTGGGTTGCGGCTGGAAGGGCATTACACTACTTAAAACATATGCTGGATAAGTTGGTAATTCATTCCACTGTGGCGACCCCTGATTAATAAAGGGACTAAGCTGAAGGTAACAAATGAATGAATAAAATTATTTTCTATTAAAGTTACAAATGGTAAAATTGCTTGTGTCTGAATGCTTTAAATTCTCTTAGCACTTAAAATCTTATGCAAATGACAAACTTTTACTCCATTATAGTTAAAATCTGGAGTAACTCCACAAATCTTGTGTATTGTGAACTGTGGCTATATAATGCTATAATAATTTATATAGCCAATGTTCATGTTGTGATTTTATCGAAGCTGAAAGAATATATTGTGCCACCCAAGTATAGTTCCTTGCCATATCTGCCTAGAAAATAGCAACTTTTGATTTTCCGTCAGTCTTAGTACACAATGTACTAGGGTTGTCCATATCCAATCACGTGAACGGAAATTGGGCCCAATACTGCGGTTTCGGACTCGATCAGATTCAGATATTATCTCCCGATCAGGACTTGAAGATATATATATTCTCATTATTTATGCCATTGGTTAAATGCCAGCAAAGTAGAACATTGAAGCAGCTTGAAGCAGAAAGTGCGAGTAAGTCTGTGGTCTGGAGGTATTATAAAGTTGATGATGACAACATTGCCATAGCAAACTGTGAGATATGTAAACTTAGAGTTGCAAGAGGTGGAAAGGAAAAAGCTACATTTAACACTACAAACCTAATAAGGCAATTAAAAAACAAACACCTGACACAATAAAGCAATTTAACCCAGGCAACCCCACTGAATACAAATTAACTAAAAAATAAGGAAAGTCCTGGATCTGTTTCTTTGCTCTTCTTTATTCTTTTTTTTGTATTATTGAAATATCGGATTGTGTTTTGGTATCGGTGGATACTCAAAATCAAATGACTTATACTCGAAGGCAAAAAAAAAAAAAAACCTGATGTGGACATTCTTAAAATGTAACCAAAGACTCAAGCTTAAAATGATTTGAATTTAATCTAAAAATCCAATTCAATGATCTATGCTAAGCTAAGCTAAATGTTCTAAACGGGGAAATCACCCAAATGGATTCAAAAATAGTTTAAAAATGGCTTAATTCTAGGAGTTTAGTGTTCCTTTAAGTTGTTTTGCTTTGGGACAAGTGAAAAAACCAAGACCTCCAGTATCCTTCCCCCCCTTTGTGTGTGTTCATGTGTGCTATTGCGTGAGTGAACGCTTCCCTGATATTTGGACCCCGTGTCAAAGGTCAGTTCAGCACGATCATAAGAAAGACCTCCATTGCCAATTAACCACATTTGCAAATCATTCAACAACACTTTCCACATCACACACACATATACTTACTCTACAGTCATTGTTGTAGCGATGTGGGCATTTTTTCCCACACCTATGATTCAGTGACTCGTAATCATCCCTTTGCTCCGGATGACGTTCCAACATCTGGAGGTGTTTTGAACGGTGGCTGTTTTGATTGGTCATATGCAGCAAGCAGGCGGGATCATAAATTCAGCAATGTGTGTTTTTTTTTTTCTGTGTGTGTGTGTGTGTGTGTGTGTGTGTGTAAAGCTTTAGTGTGTGGCACAGTTCTTCTCCCTGTTTCCAGGAAATGGGAGAGAGAGCAAGAGAAACAAGGCATGGAGGGTTACAATTAAAATCATTTTTCTTAAGAATAACATTGGAGAGAGTGTGGTCAAGAGAGACCCACTCTTGTACTTTTCCCCCTTCGGCCAGACTGATTAAATACTCATTTTTATAGGCTTACTCAGAAAGACTGATGGGGAGAAGTTGATCACATATGATTCATGTTCACGTAAAGGAATCAGAGCAGTTTTAGAGTTTCTTCGGAAAGCACCATTATTAAATGTCTCGTAGACCCATAATAACTTGCAAAGGAGAAAATTTGGAGGAAAATGCATGCATTGACTGACTTTCTTTGTTACACTTTCTATTTGAGTCTCTATTTCTCACTATCGCTAATGGGTTTGTATATTAGGATTCAGTATTTTTCTGCACCCCAGTGGATGTTACATCAGATGCCTGGTTTTGATTAAAAACAGGAATGTGTGCTTGCCTGACCTTATATTCTGCGTGATGAGGAATTCGTAAAAGAATGCAGTGTTTGTTTATCAGAGTTTATTCCGGCACTTTATGGAAATCATGTGTCCACTTAAGTGGCTGTGTGATCAAAATGTGTTTATTTTGGGGCGGGGGAGTTTGTCGCAGTGGGATGTGAAACAGCATATTAAGCTCTAAGTGTCAATATATCTCTTTAA